CACCAAGAGCTTGTAACACTCCAAAGAGAAAGGAAAAAATGAAATCGCATCATATGACCCCTTTAACATTAGTGACATATTCAGCAGCACGTATTTATAGGCTGCTGTCCCTTTAAATCCGACTGCACGGATCCAGTATAAATGATACACATCCGATTTCTTTCTCAGCTGTTTACATTCATTTAAAACATAACCGACTGCGTTTACGAGAATGATCGTCGAGACGGGTACTATTGACATAATTCTGTGTGTATGTGTCTGTTCAAACATGAGGAGATGCGAAAGACGAATCAACTTGGTCTGAAACACGTCTCTGTGTGTGTGTGTGTGTGTGTGTGTGTGCGCGCGCTTTGCACGTGTTCGGCAGAACAGAAGAGATGCTGCACGAGATGCGGCTTGTGCGTGCGCTTCAGGTGTGAGTCAGACAGCAAGACGAGACGGCAAAGAGTTGTTTTCTGCAACTTATTGCACTTAACTCTTTTTAACGTCAAGCAATTCTCTGCTATATGCATCGAACTAAAACTTTGACCTTTTGCAACGTTTTGATTTAAGTAGCCTATTATTAAAATTATTCAGTCAGCCCTTGCGATATGCATATTGCGATATTTACATTTGCGATATTTCGATAAATCGTGCAGCCCTAGTAATTACCATGGCGCATGTCCAAAATATCCATGTTGGGACCATAGAAATGTGTCAAACGTGTCATAATCAAATTTTCCTAGTGCCATGGTTTTTATTGCTGTCATTTTTTTTTAGTTGGCAACTTTTTTTTATTTTTATACATATGTGGTCTTGCGGTAATAGTAATTATGAAAGAATAAAAGTAGCTTTCCTGCAGCTCAGACTGAAGAGCACTAGCAATCCGACGTCATGGGTTTCATTCTCTTAAACTAATCGAATGTAAAGCTTGAATGCAGTACAAGTTGCTTTGGATAAAAGTGTCTGCTAAATGTGGAATATAAATTAGGGCTGCACGATAAATCGCATGCGATTATTTAACGCGCATCTTGTCAGTAAAGCCGCTTCTGTAATCAGCTGTAAATCTCCATCACGTGCGGGCTTTCACATGAAGCAGCATTTACTACACAGAGCCGTTGTTCACTGACAAGCTGTGCAAAACCACAAATATATATGAACGTATTATATATATGAACATATATTACTGACAAGATGCGCATTAAATATCGCATGCGATTTATTGTGCAGCCCTAATATAAATGTAAAATTAAAGCTGCAACCCGTGTTGAAAGGGCCCTCGCACCTGGAGCCACCTTCACCCGGTGGCCTCAGGAAAACCGTGAACGGTGGGCAATATGCATTCAAAGTGGTAAATATATGAGGAATATGTCAAAGTCATTTATTACTGTGGAATGCTTGATTCTGATTGGTCAGTTGTGACATTCTGAGGTCTGTTATCCCTCGATAACAACCTGTAAAAGCTGATAACACAGGCTCATCCGGGTAACTGAAATCAGCGCTATACTCTTGCTAGGAACAGTTGTGGAAGCTTTGTGTTTGTTTGGCTAATAAAATAATAAAACTCAATTCAATATTACGTGTACAATTATTTAATGTCATCCTGGTATGGCGGACTCGCTCTCTCGTTTCATACAAACGCAGCTGCTGCCGTTTTGCGACGATTGTTTTGTACGCTGTAATGGATTATAAGATAACTAACAAACTGGTAAGATTTTAAAACATTTTCATCTTAAATCAATATCTTTTTATCGCCATAATTATTTATGTGGTCAAATATTGTGTAATAAGTGGTTTGACTGCACCGTATCCCTTAAATGTCTGTCTAGTTTGAACTTGCCGCTTGCTTGCAACTGCTGTGTTCATGGAAGCTTTGTGTTCAAATATTTCATCTGCGCTTCGCGTCGGAGTCCTGATCACCCTGTCGGGGGTTATTCTGCAATAACAACCGACTGGATGTACATTATCCCTTACTTATGTGCCAAACTTCCTGCTGCCAGTAGGTAGCGCTATGACTATAACGGAATATAGACATGTAGACGTCTTCAGGCCAGGACTCTTATCAATAGGGATGTAACGATTCACTCAACTCACGATTCGATTTGATTCACAATTTTTTTTTAACAAAATGAGATTTAAGACAAATTATAAATTAAATGTGTCCTTTTATTATTGCTTGTTATAATATTATTATAACACTATAATAATATTATAACAAGCAATAATAAAAGGACACATTAATACACTAATAATATACTACTATAATAATAATTCTAGTGGTCGACCGATATATCGCCAAGGCCGATATATCGGCCGATATTTAGCATTTTGCAAATATCGGCATCGGCCGATAAGTTTTCCTGTTTGGCCGATGCGTTCAAGGCGGGACTTTTATTTTGACGGTGCTGAGAGCGGCACTCAGTGCACAGTGCTCACGTTCTCCTCCCCTTGTTCGCTGTTGTCGTTAACAGTTCTGAAAAGTATCACAGGTTCCAAAAAAATATGAAGCAGCACAACAGTTTCCAGCACTGATAATAAATCAGCATATTAGAATGATTTCTGGATCATGTGACACTGAAGACTGGAGTAATGATGCTGAAAATTCAACTTTGATCACAGGAATAAATTAAATTTTAATGTATATCAAAATAGAAAAACTTATTTTACATCGTAATAATATTTCACAATTTTACTTTTTTTCCCCTGTATTTTTGATCAAATAAATGCAGCCTTGATGAGCAGAAAAAACTCCTTTAAAAAACACAAAAAAATTTCTGATCCCAAACCTTTGAACGGTAGTGTATATATTGAATTTAATTGTTTTGAATTACCAAAAATTGCTCCCCGTCAACCCAAAGATTCACACTCGTTAAGGATACATTAGTAAAAACCAAAATAATTTAGTTTCTTTCCTGCTATATCAAAAGATCTCACCGTATTTCCGTGCGGTTTAACCCTTGTTGTTTGATTTCCTCTCTCACCTCCTCACTCACTCGCACACACACACTCACTCTCTCACACACACACACGCTCACACTCTCACACACACGTATTCATGCTGGTGTTCTCCGGTCTGTGCACTCAGCGACCTCAGACGAGGAGATGGTCATGTGGGTGAAGGGTTTGACCTGGCTGGTGTCTGATACGCTACGCTCCCCCACACCCCTGCAGATAGAAAGGTGACCTTTGACCTCTACATGCACCCCTCCCTGCAGATATTGATTGATGAAAACCATTAAGCTCGGAGTTCACATATGTCAAGTGTTAAAGTGCCTGAAATCAGCTCGGCCCGTACAATCGCAGATGTGAACGTTAAAGTAACCTGTATGTTCTTTGTTCTTTTGCTGAACTTAGATGGCTGAGAAAACAGTTTTACGCAGTGGATCGCAGCAGGGAAGACAGGTATGTTTCATATCAGTGTAACCGTGCATACAGCTTGTGGAAATAACAAGCTCTATAGAGATACAGTAGATACTGAGCTGTTTTCCTGCCGCAGCGGTTATTTTAATCTCATCTTTCTTGCGAGATGTCTGTGTTAAGGTGTATGTTTTAAGGGTAGAAATGGCTGACTCAGAGGTACCAGGCATTATCAGGCCAAACACACACACTCGCACACAAACACACACACTCCTGTTGGGTAAATAGAGCTCAGAGACGGCACATCCTGCAGCAGGAAACAAAGCTCGGAACTCCTACACACACACACACACACACACACACGCTGAAGGTAAATACAGTGAGAGCGGCTGAAAGACACATGAGCTTTGTGTGAGGTGTTGTATTCAGATGAAATGGTGGTCGTGTGGAGGCACATGACAATTTTCAGCTTGTCAGAACACGTGACTAAATCAAATACCGTATTGGCCCGAATATAAGACGACCCTGATTATAAGACGACCCCCCTTTTTCCAGATGTACCTTTTGGAAAAAGGCTTTTTAAAAACCAAATCTTGTTTTTTCTCAGTAAAACACATTTTGTCTTCAATTATTTTCATATTGCATATTTTTCCTATTTTAATTTTTGTTTTGAAAGTATGGTAAAAACTGGTAAAATGTACCAACAATCACATTTAAAAAATATACACTTTTTGATATACCATTAAAAAAAAAAAAACAGGTAGCCCATCTGAATTAGGACATTTAGGCTATCCATCTAATAGTAGCCTACCAAAATCTTATTAACAGTAGAAGTTAAATCTTACTGTAGTCTTCAAATCTGGGTACTGTCTTACGTTTTAAAATCACAAAGAGAGTTTGGTGCCATCAGGCTAACGTGACAGTCACGACTCATGCAGCTGTAAGCTTTTCTGCTTCTTTTGTTTTTACTCGCGATCTTTACAACACGCATTACATTACGTATTTCATGGCACACTCGTTTTATGCGTATTTGGTGCCACCTATTGTTGTGGGTGTATTATTGACATGTCAAAGTCTAGACCCTGAATATAAGACGACCGCGTTTTTTCAGATGTATTTCCAAGAAAAAAATATAGTCTTATATTCGGGACAATACGGTAAGTGACGTACACAGTAGAAATTAATGATCTTTTCCATTCACGATGGAAAGTTGCTTCTTCACCTGTACATACTGACAATGTCTCTCTCTGTGTGTGTATAAATAAAGTTTGGGACCAGTAAGATTGTTTTATAATGTTTTATAAAGAAGTTTCTTCTGCTCATCAAGGCTGCATTTATTTGATCAAACATGCAGAAAAAAACTGTAATATTGTGAAAAATTATTGCTATTTAAAATAACTGTTTTCTGTTTTAATATACTTTAAAATGTAATTTATTTCTGTGATGTAAAGCTGTATTTTCAGCATCATTACCCCAGTCTTCAGTGTCACATGATCCTTCAGAAATCATTCTAATATACTGATTTGCTGCTCAAGAAACATTTATTATTATTATCAACAGTTGAGCTGCTTCATATATTTGTTGAAACATGATACATTTAACGATTTTTGATGAAGAGAAACTTCAAAAGAACGACATTTATTAGAAGTGCACATTTTTTTGAAACGGTGTGAAAGTCTTCACTGTGACTTTTATCAATTTAATGCATCCTCACTGAATAAAAGTATTAATTGCTTAAATCTTGCTGAGCCCAAACCTTTGAACCGTAAACCACAACAATTTATTATTAACTTAAAAAACACATGAGAGGAATCAGCCGGATTGACGAAAGCGCTAACAGTGCTGAACTTCCTCATAAACCTGACACTGACGTCACCGTGTGATTTATAACCACGTTCCAAAACACTTTGTGTTCTTCTGTAGAATTTCCTGTAAGGATCTGAAAAGTATGCTGTGCCAGGTCAACTACAGAGTTCCCAATATGAGGTTCTTACGAGAGAAACTTCCGGTAACAAACCCACTGCTGCATGCACTGTTTCTCACATTACTGAAGTGTTAATAGTTTATTGCATAATGTTTGTTTATTATACTTTGTAGTTATTTTGTCTGTGAATTTGTTCATCTGTATTAACACGACATTTGTAATTACTGGAAAAGTGCAGCATGTTTCTTTAAGTTTTAAAATGTATTTTTAATCATATAATATCTTGGTTAGGATGGAGAGCTGAGGAATGGAGATGTATCATATAGTCATTTTGCGCAGTTGTACCGCAGCCTGATGTTTGACGCACAGAAATCAGTAAGTCACACGTTTATTTGTGTGTGTGTTAGTTATATGTAGGTGGAGCGGGGCAAGAGGTGAAGCCCTCCTCAGAGCCACTTAAACCCCATCAGTCGTCCCCGTTTGCCCGCTTCTCAAATGGCCTTCACGTCAATACTTGGCCTTTTAAAAAGCCGCAAGATCCATGGGCTAAAAGCCATTAGGCCACACTGAAGCACACAGACACACACACACACACACAGACAGACAGATGGCACTGATGACCCCTGCACTTAAACCTGTGTGTGTGTGTGTAGAGTGTATGTGTAGAGTGTGTGTGTATGTGTAGAGTGTGTGTAGAGAGAGTATGTGTGTGTGATAGCTGACCAGTGATTGAGTGTGTGTAGAGTGTGTGTGTGTGTGTAGAGTGTGTGTGTGTGTGTGTGTAGAGTGAGTGAGTGTGTGTGTAGAGTGAGTGAGTGTGTGTGTAGAGTGTGTGTGTAGAGTGTGTGAGTGTGTGTAGTGCATCACTTGTGTGGATGTTTGATATCTCATCACATCAGTTCATTAGCGTCTGACGGGCCTATATATGGTTCAGGTTTAGAGCTCCAGACGTTAATCTGGGTGTTTTACTGTAGTGGTTGTGAAATGGGTGCATTTACATCAGGTATTAATTGTATTATTCACATAATAAGCATTTTGTTCTGTGTTGTTTTTATAGATGGAGATTCCACTGCTGCAGAGGTATTTACTCACTCTCTTATTTTCAAGCTGAAGTATTTACAGATGTTATGAAATGGCATTGACAACACATTAAACTTCCATAATACAGTATGATTCATTTACAGGTAAAACAGAATATTTAGGGATATATAATGTAGGGCTGACAAGAATTTATTGGGGTTTTGTGGAAGCCTCTGGAAAAAAATGGGTAATTGCGACCTTTCAATCTAACTTCTGACTTTTTTTCTCATAATTGACCAAATGCGCTTTCTTTAGAGCTTCTGCATAAAGATAAGCCAGCTCGTAAACTTCCGGTGAAGCTCGTTTGGTGTTGTGATATACTGTATATAGGTTGAGACCCTCACAGAAACCTCTCCTGCCTCGCTCGTCAGAAACTGAGAAACAAAATAATTGCAACACCGTAAATAGTTACCGGCGTTAACATACAGTTTCATGTTATTTAACCACATATAACGACATATAATTTGATATGCCGAGTCTGCGAATCCCAGGAGTACCCAGAGACGTAAATGCTGACAACTAAACACTATCGTAACTGTTTCGGCTAACGTTAGCTAGCTAGTGATGCTATCTCGTCAATTACATCATAATGATATCCTTGAGAATCAATAACTGACCTTCATAGTCATGAACACATTTTACATAAACACTGATAACATTTTAAAGCCTTTATTATTTCTCAACTCTACAGCTGTGCAGTAAAAATCACTTTTCATTCATGAAGACGACATGAAAAAATGTGTCTCCTGGCGGAAAACAAAGACTTTTAAGATGAAAATGACATGAAATTAGCATTATAACCAGTAGATGGCAGCAGAGGATCACTCATTAGCTCAGCTGCCATTTCAACTCCCTAGATTTTTTTTTTTCATGTCTTGCTTTTGGATTTATGTAATGACTATTATAACAAATTTTACTGTACTGGAGTATAAAGTATAGCAAGTTCAGGAAGTCACAAAGTCTAATGCCATTTAAAAAATAAATAATTAAATAAATAAGCCCAGACACCAACAGCCTAGAAGGGCAAATTATGTAACTACAAATTAAATAACTTAATTATTAATGGTATAACTAAATTAATTAAATAATAATGCATTATATATTTTGAAATATTTTTTTGATTTAATTTAATAACTACATTTTTAAGTTTTATCTTTAACTGTAAAACAGACTTGCTGCTGCTGTAGTTTTGTTACTCTGAATTGAGTCTGAATCACTGAATGCACAGCTCTGTTTTTGACAGCGGCTCGTCAGATGTTTTGTTCCATCTGTTGCTTTATCATTGTCAATCACAGCAATGAGTCGCGGCACAATTTAGCGGATTCACTTTTGGACGTTTGGTCCTCTTAGACAATCAAAACTTTTCTTCAGATTGTGAATGGATTATGTAGAGAAACCGAGCAAAGGACGCTCCCCTGATAGCACAACTGATTTTGACAGCTGACTGAAAATGACTGAGCTGGCTTATCTGAAACCAGCAAGTAACCGTGCATATAGTCAGTTGCGAGTTTACATCAAGCAATTCTGAAGAAAAAAGTCAGAATTGTGAGGTTAAAATTGTTAGATGCAATTACCTTGTTTTATTTTTATTCATTTATTTTTTTATGATGTATTTATTTTGTTTTTATTTTAATTTATTTTTTTACTGATTGTGCACAGTTATACCTATTGGTATATGGTCATTTATTGTATTTTATCTGACATCCCAGAACATCTCTTGGGTTTCCGTATGTGATGCTGAAACACTGATCTGTGTGTTTCTTACAGGCTTATTGAGAGACCTGAGCAGAAGATCTCACTGGAGGACTTCCAGAACTTCCTAATTGAACATCAGAAGGTTAGATATTCACTTCTCATGTTATTACAATTAACGTGTAAATAACGTCTGGTTTGTGTAATTATGCGTTGTTGTGTGTGTGTGTGTGTTTGTGTCTTTAGGAGCTCTGGGCTACAGACAATAATAAGGTGCAGGAGTTCATGCTCCACTACCTGAAGGATCCTCTACGAGAGATCGAGCAGCCATACTTTCATCAAGACGAGGTGATGCTTACATAAACATGAATGCCAAGTGGTTAGTGCATTCTGGGTACACATTTTTTAAGTTCACTGGGAATGAAACCCATAAATGTGCAGTTGCACGTTTTAACCACTTCCTGCTGTGTGACCTCAGATCTTTGTTTGATGTGCATAATCTGCCTCTTTCTGACCTTAATTAGTTGTGTTTGAATTTCCATCTGCTGTTTAAAATAACTATTTAAATGAGGTATATGAATATATTGAAGTTTCATGAAAAAGATGGAGTTTATATTGTATTATACTGTTTTCATGTTGAATGATTTATTGCCTGTGGTTAATATTGAGGGTTCCCTGAGCAAACTGTTTATATAAATTTGTGTTTGACACATGTTCCACTTTTGTACTAATTGGAGTAGAGATTTTTACATAAATATTGAGATTTGACTGCAATTTTTTAAAGCTTATTTTTAAACGGTTTGTAACAATATATGAACTCTTGTAAAATAAATAGAAAACAAAATGGCTTATTTAATATATATTTTGACCTCCTGTCTTTTAAGAACCATTTTTTCTAGTTAATGTTTCCTTCACTTTGTTGAAAAAGACCAGAAGCATGGACTTCCATGTCCTATTTTGTACTCTTTTCATGAAAGACCGTTTTAGTGTTGGACAGTTGAGCAGTGCAGAGTACTAACTCATGCTTGCTTGCTTTTTAACGTAAACATCATGTTCTATGTTTTGCGGTCTTTCTCAGTTCCTCACGTATCTGTTCTCTAAAGAGAACACTATCTGGGACGTGCAGCTCGATCAGGTGAGGCCAGAGGACATGAACAACCCCCTGTCCCATTACTGGATCTCCTCGTCCCACAACACGTGAGTAGATGCGTGGCCAGTACGTCCTCTAAACTGCACACTGATGTGAGCAAAACAAAACCAAGAAATGGACTCGATTCAGCTGGAGTCCGTCTGCTGCTCTTGTGTATTTTCAGTATGTTTGCAGTAACATGCAGTTTCAGTAACATGCAGACAGTTTCAGTAACATCCGGTTTCAGTACCTTTCAGTCGGTTTCAGTAACATGCCGTTTCAGTAACATGCCGTTTCACTAACATGCTAACATTCACTAACAAGTAACATCCGGTTTCAGTACCATTCAGTCGGCTTCAGTAACATCCATTTTCAGTAACATCCATTTTCAGTAACATCCGGTTTCAGTAACATCCGGTTTCAGTACCACTCAGTCGGTTTCAGTAACATCTGTTTTCAGTAACATCTGTTTTCAGTAACATCCGTTTTCAGTAACATGCAGTCAGTTTCAGTAACATGCAGTTTCAGTAATATCCAGTCAGTTTCAGTAAGATGCGTTTTCAGTAACATCCGTTTTCACAGTAACATCCAGTCAGTTTCAGTAACATGCAGTTTCATTAACATCCTGTCAGTTTCAGTGACATCCAGTTTCAGTACCATTCAGTTGTTTTCAGTAACATGCGTTTTCAGTAGCATCCGTTTTCAGTAACATTCAGTCAGTTTCAGTATCAGTCAATTTCATTAACATCCAGACAGTTTCAGTAACATCCAGTGCTGATTAATCAAGAGGCTGTGTGTTTATTAAAATTCTCTCTCTGAAGGTATCAAGTAACTATTCCAGATAAGTTATCAACAGACAGACAAAGGACAGTAATGTGTGGTCTCTGGATCATTTATATTCATCCATTTTGTTAGTTGGTTATCCATTGGTTAAGTAGCTGGTTAGTGTATAAATTGAATACCTCCTCAAAGAAACAAAATGTTAGGTGATGGGGGTTGGTTGGTCGGTTAGTTGGTCAATTATTTAGAGTATAAAATTGATCATTCTCACACAACCAAAATTTTAGGTGATGGGGGAGCTGTTTGATTGGTTTGTTAGTTACCGTCTTGAATGAATCCCCCTCAACCCAAAATGATAGATTATGGGGAAAGGACTGGTTGGTTAGTTTGTTGGTATGTTGGATAGTTGTAGTATAAAATTAATCCCCCTCAAATAACTGTTTGAAGAAGAAGTGTTAGATGCTGGGGAAAAGAGTTGGTTAGTCAGTTAGTTAGTTCGAGAATAAAATGAACCCCCCTTTAAAGAATCAATATCTTAGATGCTGGAAAATGATTTGGTTGGTTGGTTAGTCAGAGTATCAAAGGATTCCTTCTTAAAGAACAAACATGTTGGATAATGGGAAAAGGTTTTGGACAGATTTCTAAGAGAAACAATAATCATGTTAACATAAAATCTTCCCTGTTAGAATGTATTTCCTCATGATGCACTCCTACGTTCTTATTGTGTACAAACATCTTATTCCCAAAGACATAATAAATGTGTATAAATATAAATATATATATACAGTATCTCACAAAAGTGAGTACACCCCTCACTTTTCAGCAACCATTTTAGTATATCTTCTCAAGGGACAATACTATAGAAATGAAACTTGGATATACTTTAGAGTAGTCAATGTGCTGCTTGTATAGCAGTACAGATTTACTGTCCTGCACGCACATTGACTAGTCTAAAGTATATCCAATTTTAATTTCTATAGTATTGTCCCTTGACAACATATAATAAAATGGTTGCTGAAATGTGAGGGGTGTACTCACTTTTGGGAGATACTGTGTGTATATATATATATGTATGTGTGTGTGTGTGTGTACACATAATGTATATATGTGTACACACACACACACACACACACTATATCATGAATGTCTTGCCATATGAAAATGAACCCGTCAAATAGATGTCTGACTGACGTACACATGCTTTCAGAGGTGTGGCTTACTAATGTGCAAAACTAAAATATAATGTTGAACAACCAACACAATATGCAACTTGAACAAAGAGAAGTCATCTGTGAAAGTGTATTGTGTATCTGTCAGTAACCTGTAAACGTGCAGGGGAGCGTCTGAATCTGAAAAGGGCAGATGAGTGGAGAGATTTCTATATGTTTTCATACAATATGACGTTTCAGACTGATGAAGTGTTACTATGGTACATTGTGTACTGTTTGCTTTCAGTGCATAATTGATTTTAAATGCTACCTTTTGGTTTCTTTCGTGACTTCAGAACAATTAATCTAGTTACACCGGTTAAACACAAAAATCTACCTTATGAATCTGTTGTCGTTCAAGGGGAAACCGTTCAAGACTGACAGAATGGAAAGAATCCTTTAACGTGTTTGTAAAGAATATATTTGCGGTGTTCATGAGCTGTAGTAACTGTGAGAGGTTATTGATCTTGAGAGTAAGGTGTGTGTCAGTGCTGATGTGTGTTATGGAGGAGCTCAGAAAGGCCCTGACGTGTGTGCTTGTATTTTTAGCTATCTGACGGGAGACCAATTTTCCAGTGAGTCGTCTCTGGAGGCGTACGCCCGCTGTCTGCGGATGGGCTGCAGATGCATCGAGTGTGAGTCTCAACGCAGCGCTCAGCCAGCCATTATTAATGTTACACGAATGCTTTATATGCAAAATATTTCTGTTTTTTTTACCTAGAAACTAACATGCTGATAATACAGCTATTTTGTATTGAACAATGTATCTTACAATCGTTTTTTTTATTTAATTTTTTTCACCTTTTCCTCTCGGTAGTAAAACTAGCAGACTGCACTAGTATGACACAATGTATTAAAAATTTTTTTAGTTGATAAATAATAGCATGCATTTTCTGCTGTTTATTGTTCTAGGTTCTGGGATAAAACAAAACAAATCTGAATTTCAAATACTGGTTTGTTTGTTTGGTTCTTTTGTTTTTTGTTTGTTTAATTCTGTTTGGTTTATTTGCTTTTTGTTCGTTTGTTTCATTTGTGTGTTTCATGTGTTTTTGATTTGTTTGCTTTTGGTTTGACTCATTTGTGTAATTTTTGTTTAATTCTGTTTGGTTTATTTGCTTGTTTCATTTATGTGCTTCATGTGTTTGTTTCTTTTGGTTTCTTCATTTCATTTGAGTGTTTGTTTCTTTTGGTTTGTTTGCTTGGCTCTTTTGGTTTTTGTTTAATTCTGTTTGGTTTATTTGCTTTTTGTACATTTGTTTCATTTGTGTGTTTCATGTGTTTGTTTCTCTTGGTTTGTCTCATTTGTGTAATTTTTGTTTAATTCTATTTGGTTTATTTGCTGCTTCTCATTTGTTTAATTCTGTTTGGTTTGTTTTTTTTCATGAGTTTGCTTCTTTTGGCTTGCTGCTCTTGGTTTGTTTGTTTGCTTTTTTTATTTAACAAACATGTACAGTAACAAACATGCAAACAAAAAGTGCAGAAATGTAAAACAATTGTTTATTTATTTTAGAAACTGAAATTTGACAAGAACTATTTATTTTTTAGAACTAGAACTATGTGACTAGACTGACGCGGCAGTATCTGTGTCCTGTAAGTGTGTTGTTGTGTGTCTGGCAGCTGGCTGTAACGTGTGTGTGTGTGTGTTTTTTTTTTTTTGCAGTGGACTGCTGGGACGGTCCTGATGGGATGCCTGTTATCTACCACGGTCACACCCTCACCACCAAGATCAAGTTCAACGATGTGCTTTCCACCATCAAAGAACACGCCTTCGTTACGTCTGAGTGAGTGTGGCGTCTGCACACACCAGTTCTCTGTGTGATGTTTTGATAAGGGAATCTTCTGAATGTGTGTTATGCAGTCATCAACACTTTGGTGTTTGCACGCAGCTATCCCATCATCCTCTCCATCGAGGACCACTGCAGTATTGTCCAGCAGAGAAACATGGCCACCTACTTTAAGAAAGTGTTTGGAGAGATGCTCCTGACCAAAGCGGTGGACATCTCAGCCGACGGTCTCCCCTCACCCAATCAGCTCAAGAGGAAGATCCTGATCAAGGTGAGAGCCCATTGGCTACATGGCAGGAAATGCCATCATTAAGATTTTCTCAGCTAAGAACATTAATTGTTGGATTGATGTGTTCAGCACAAGAAATTAGCTGAGGGAAGTGCGTACGAGGAGGTCTCGTCTTCAACGCCCTACTCTGAGAACGATATCAGCAACTCCATCAAGAACGGCATCCTGTACCTGGAGGATCCCATCAACCATGTGAGCTCACCTTCATCTGCTCGTTTAGAGACGTTAAATCTGACGGCAGATTGTTGAGGCTCATCGTGGATGTTCACTGTTGTCCTCACAGGAGTGGTATCCTCACTTCTTTGTTCTGACCAGCAATAAGATCTATTACTCTGAAGAGACGTCAAGTAATCAAGGGAACGAGGATGAGGAGGAGCACAGAGAGGTGAGGAAAACACAATCTCAGGAATAACAGCAGCACTGCTAACCTGACTGCAGTGTAATGGTCTTTCAGCTGCTCTCAAATAAGAGTAGCTTCAGGGTCCCCCGCGAGTTGTAGAAAATTCAGTTTTATTCAATTCAGGGTCTTTAAAAGTCAAGTGCCTTTATGGTATAACTCGAAGTCTTGATAATCATTGGGGACAGACAAACAGGAATCCCGGTTTGGTGTAATTTGATCATTAATTAACCTTCAAAAGGCTATGATTTATGAATACTACTGATGTCTCTATGATCCCCCCCCCCCCTAATATTTAATCATTCAACATTACAGTATAATTGAGAGCTATCAATTTTAACATTTAACAGACTTTAAAAAATAACTTCTAATTTAAGTGAAATGAAAACAATCTTCACATAAACCCATTATAATAAATGCCATATTTAGCTACCTGTGCCCTTCAGCAAGTTGGAAATATACAGCAATCGCATAAAGTTATCAAACACTAAATTCTAAATTAAGATGAATCTTTAAAGCTACAAAAGTGATTGATTTCCTCTCTTTTTCTTTTGTTCTTTGAAGAACAGACATCACAGCAGCTGTTATGAGGTTATTTTGGCTGCTGCTGAACATGCCGCGGATCTGACACGCATCATAGTTTCTCATAACTCTTTACCTTTTCTGATTTCTATGAAATTATATACAGCGTGCGCCACTGCATTTGTGCGTGCATTTGAAGGGCACGTGCTATGAGCGCTAGGGATGCACAATATTATTGGACCTATATCGGAATCGGCCGATAATGGCTTTAAATGTAAATATTGGCATCGTCCCGCTATGAAAAATTATGCTGATATGTCTTGCCGATAAGAGGAATACGTTAACTCGCATGTGCTCAGGGTGTGCTAGCGGTCAGCAGTGTGGCTCATTCTTGAAGCAAAGTTTTGTCGGAATGATGATTAGATTCACTGTTTTGGATTGCTGCATTTAATCTGTGAAAGCACGTACAGAATGACGCGTTCGGTGTGTGATAGAGTAAACGGTAATAGCACGTGCAGCAGCAGTGACAGCCTCCCCCGGGTCCTAACGCCCGAGTTTTAATCTGTAGGAGGCGCTGTTGGCCTTCTTCTAATTAAATTAAAAGGAAAATAGCCTACACAAATAACATTTAGACTGTTTCTGATTAAATAAAGCAGTATTTAAGAAGCTATAGCTTACATGGGAAAAAAATCACAAACATGACACTTGTAAATTAAATAGTTTTATATATACCGATTTATTCATTAATATGTAATAGGTTTTATTTTTTAAACAAATCATAAGCTCTAAAAGATTTTCAGAATTTTTACAACTCTTTTGCTTTAGACCATCTACAAATGTTAAATCTTAAAATAAAATGTTAGGGTTAACACTGCATCTTTCTGGGACAAAAGAAATGCAGCGATTAAGATATTAGGGAGTAAAAAAAGACTGATACCGATATATCGGCCGATATTCTTTCCTTCAGAAATCATAATAATATGCTGATTTGCTGCTCAAGAAACATTTCTGATTATTAGCAATGTTGAAAATTATCAATTGTCGAAATGGTGATACATTTAATTTTTTCAGGATTCTTTGATGAATAGAAATTTTAAAAGAACAGCATTTATTTAAAACAAGCAAAACAGCGTTTGTAGCATTAGAAATGTCTTCACTGTCACTTTTGATCGATTTAATTCATCCTTGCTGTCAAATGGTTTGAAAAAGCCCCAGGAAGCTTTATTGGTAGATAATTATTTCTATGTTATGGCCAGTGGTAATATACAATGGCTAATAAATATGCTAAATAGTATAAAAATAACATATTAAAATTGCTTGTTTAATATTTGTCACATTTTTAAGTGTTATAATAATGTCTTTCAATTATCTTTATTTGGGGCCTTTTCTCAGCAAATATTGGTATGCTGTCAACTGTGAATTTAATTAGATTGCAGTTAATTTCATGATATGTTAATTGATTAATATATTGACATCCCTAAAATTACCCCACTGTTCAAAAGTTTGGGGTTGGTAAGATTTTTGGGTAAGATGTTTTTGAAACAAATCTCTTCTGCTCACAAACGCTGCATCAAATACACAGTAATATTGTGAAATATTATTACCATTTAAAATAGCTGTTTTCTTTGTGAATATATGTTCAGAAATCATAATAATATGCTGATTTGCTGCTCAAGAAACATTTCTGATTATTAGCAATGTTGAAAATTATCAATTGTCGAAATGGTGATACATTTAATTTTTTCAGGATTCTTTGATGAATAGAAATTTTAAAAGAACAGCATTTATTTAAAACAAACAAAACAGCGTTTGTAGCATTAGAAATGTCTTTACTGTCACTTTTGATCGATTTAATTCATCCTTGCTGAATAAAAGTATTAACGTCTTCAAAAAAAAAAAAAATCAAAAGTAGTTTTTTTATTGATTTCTTTGTAAGTAAGCTAGCGTGTGAGCAGCTGGTCTGGAGCAGGGTTTGTGTGCTGTTCCTGTCCTCCTGTGTTTCCCGTCTAATCTCACGCCTATAACGATAATGATATCAATAAATCTAATTGTGCTGAATCTGAGCTCAGTGAAGTCCAATCCATAACAATAACGATAATGACACAGAGGAACTATATCATTGGAATGATTTTCAGCTTTTTCCAGCTGATGAATGATAAAAACATTGAGAGCCAATCAGAATCGCCCTGACTTTAAAGTGGCAGATGATAAAACTGCAGTGCGCTTATAATAAACACGGTGTTGTCCACTGTTGTGGACGATAATATAGTTATCGATATAATATTTGATTTTCTAACATTAATATCTCACTAGCCAGAAAGTCTAATTTCCTTGCCAAAGCCTGTTTTTACCTGCGTTAGGTGCTTTGTGTGTTCAGTCTTGATTTGGTTCACAGAGACCACGAGGAGCCTGAAAGTAACCGTGTGTTTGTGCTCTCCGCTCAGGTGGAAGGGAGACTATGGCGGCAAGAAGCAGCTGTGGTTCCCTGCGAATTACGTGGAGGAAATCAGCCCGACGGCTGCGGAGCCTGACAGATCTGTGAGTTGAGCGTGTGTGTTGTTGTGTTGTGTCAGAGGCGCTCTGGGCTCCGACCTTTACCCCTGTTCTCGCTCTCGCTCAGCAGGCCACAGAGAACAGTCCTCTGGGAGATCTCCTGAGAGGAAGTGTGGACGTGTCTTCCTGTCAGATCGGTGAGTGTGTGTGTGCTCCTCTTCCCTGATACACACTCATCAACACATCGCTGTGTGAGGCCCTTACAGAGACACACGCACACACACATTATGTTTGAATTTAGATTAGAGCAGCCTGAAGATTTAAAATAAACGTGATTAATTTAGTTTTTTAGCTTTTTACCTAATAATTCAGAAATAAATATCTAAATATTTCTCTCTATATATATATAATTAATAATTATTAATTAATAATAAATTAAGTATTGATTTAATTTTGTTATTATTATCGATACTACTACTACTAATAATAATAATAAGTAATAATTGTTATTTTTTATTTTATTATTTTTTTCCATGTATTGCAATGAGAGATATACTGTATTTTTTTTAACAATATAGCTCAACCCTAACTGTTTTAGTATCATTTATATACTATTTTAGTTTGTTCATTTTTTAAATTTTAATTTCATTTTAATTTTAGTGAAAGTTTTAGCAATTTAGTTGTTTTTGTGATTTCTATTAGTTTTTTTTAATTAATTTATGAAGTTTTTTTTTGTAAACTAAAATGAATTGAATAAATAAAATTAATAGTTTATTATATGTATATATTTTATTGTATTTTATTTTGTTAATATTTTATTTCAGTTAATGTTCATTTCAACTAATGATTATCTATCTATCTATCTATCTCTTCTTTCTTCTTCTTTCTTTCTCTTTCCCAGCTAACGTCACCAAACCCTCTTATTTTTCCACTGTCGCCTTTTCATATACGAGACTTTTTTTGACCATAAGTTCAGTTCAGTCACTGTGCTGCCATACACTCTCCCCCTCTTTGAGCATCCTGTTTCAGAACAGAAATATGTTGATTGCGGTAAATTGAGTTGGGCTACTTTTTCACTGTTGCTGCGGGTTAAAGCGATCTCCCCCGACTCCCCGGATCACTATTTTAACGGAGGGGATCCCCAGCAGAGGGGAAGACCGCAGAAAAATAGCTTTTGGGCTGGTTTTGAATTGCAGTTGGGCTGGTTTTGTTTGACAGACCTGGCAGCCCTGAGTTGCATGCTGTTTGATGTTGTCTTGACTTGAGCTGTGTGTATGTTGTCTCTCCTGCAGTGGTCAGGCCTGAAGGGAAGGGCAGCAGACAGTTCGTCTTCTCTTTGGTCCCTGTGGCTTCACCTCGCACCGGCCCAGTGCTGGACATCGCAGCCAGTTCACAGGAGGAGCTGAAGGACTGGGTGATGAAGATCCGCGAGGTCACCATGACCTCTGAAGCCAAGGTCAGCTACCATACCATATCTCCTCCTGCCCCCGCGGTGATACCGGTATTACCGGTGTTGTCACACGTCGATTAACTGGTGGGAAAATTTCCTCACCGACACAACCCTCCTCTCCAGTAAAACAGGAGCTGCCTGTCACCACCTGTTACCAAACCTCTGCTCTGCTTTCTTGAATGCCTGCGCTTACGAATCAAGGGATCAAATGATGCATGCAGTTTCCTAAGAATGTGTTTTGCTTTTGGACACGTAGGCTGTATGATATTGTTTATGACTAATGATTATTTGTTCTCCGTCAGCTTGAGGAGGGTAAAATGATGGAAAGAAGAAAGAAGATTGCTTTAGAGCTGTCAGACCTCGTCATCTACTGCCGACCGGTTCCTTTTGATGAAGACAGTAAGACGTCCAACAGTTTTTCAACTCCATATTACTGATGCCTCATGGAAATCTGATTCCACAACTTGTCACATCATGTCCTAACCAGGGTTATTATCATTAACTAAACCAAAAAAACATTTTTAAAAATTCATTACGTGAAAAAAAAAAATAAAATCATCAACTAAAATTTAATATTTAAACTTATTACAAAAAAATTTAACTAAACACAAATAAGAAATGTTGCCTTGGCAACTAGCTGAAAAAAAAACAAGTTTGAGTTGAAGTACTACCATAACTAAAACAAAATACACTAAAATTTAATGAAAACTATACATATTCAAAATAAAGACAAAAACACAGCAAAATTACTAAAACTTAAAATAAATAAAAATGAAAACCGAAAGTATAAAAATGAAATCAAATTCAAAATATTACCAGTGTTAAAATAAAACTGGTCCTGACTCACTTTTTGACTGAGCCATATAGTAAAAATATATCTCATTATTTTTAACATTTTTTGTTTGTTTGTTTGTTTTTCGCCCATTAATAATAACCTAATTAGAAGGTCATTCTTTTTTGTTTTAAAAATTCTGACCAAAACAAACATTCTACAATCAAGTAACATATTCTTTTGTGTTCCTCAAGATAATAAAACAGCCTTTAAATGACATGAGTGAGTATAAATATATATATTTTTTTTTTTTTTTTTTTGCACAACCTATTACAATACATAGACATAAACAGCAATGTTTACATGTATTAGTAAATAAATATATGCACTGTTTAATATGTTAATGGCACACATGGAAATAATCATTCTGTACTTAAGATCAAATCCAAGATATTAAAACATCTCTCTTAACACTTTTATACACTCACAATTAGGTTCACACAATTGGTCTAGTTAGTTAGTTTCCCACTCTCTGGGAAACTTAATAGCCAAATAAACAGTGCATACAAATCAGATAGTCACCATATCTATACATTACTGCGGATGTATTTTACTTGAAACTTGAACTGGACTTTATATAAACTTGACCACGTTGTATAAAATCACACCAGCTATCATTATAGAATGAGTGCAGGACTACAACCGTTTTATTTCTCTATTGTTATAAACATGCTGATAGTGACATGCTCAACTCAGGGTTGAGTTTAGTGTATTGGCATAGCACCGCGAGTTTGTCCCAACCAGAAAAAAAAACAGAAAACCCTTTTCCCATGGTGGTCTGTTGCCCAAACCTGTTCCTACACACGCGCCAACAGTACGCATTTGGGTCCGTAGCTCCTCAACATAAACCCTAAGATATCTTCCGTCTCTTACAGAAATCGGGACGGAGCGGGCCTGTTTCCGGGACATGTCCTCGTTTCCCGAGACCAAAGCGGAGAAGTATGTGAACCGTATCAAAGGAAAGAAGTTCCTGCAGTACAACCGGCTGCAGCTCTCGCGGATCTACCCTCGCGGTCAGCGCCTGGACTCGTCCAACTACGACCCGTTACCCATGTGGCTGTGTGGCAGTCAGCTGGTGGCCCTTAACTTCCAGACCGCCGGTGAGCACAGAGCTCTCTCTCCTCCTCCTCTGTGTGCGTCCTGGCATTGAACAGTGTGACCGTTTCTCTGCAGATAAGCCCATGCAGATGAATCAGGCGCTCTTCATGCTGAACGGCAGGAGCGGTTACGTGCTGCAGCCGTCGATCATGAGAGACGACACCTTCGACCCGTTTGACCGGCACTCTCTGAGAGGAGTGGAGCCCATCACAGTCTGCATAGAGGTACACATGCATGCTGCACTACAGCGGACTACAACCCAACCGTTAGATGGGGTCTCTCCGGGTCCAAATTTGCCCTTCCACTAATTAAGACCTAAAAAGTCAGAGCAGAAAGCCTTAAATTCATGAAATCATGGCACTGAATGTTGTATGCACTGTAGGGCTGTCAGAATGGCTGAAAAACTAAATTCGAATTTTGTACTTAAATATTATCAAAATTTTAATTATATTCAAATTTAAAATGCATAATTTCAGTTATGGTGAAAAATAGCTTTTGGCTTCTCTCCTGAGGCCACAAGAGGGCGCATCGAGCAAAATATTACTAATGCACGTTTATTCAAAGCATAAGATAACATGCAGTGGGATTTTTTTCAAAGTTAAACTTGCATTAATTTTACATGGCTTTCTAAACATGTGGCTCCTTTGTGCGAGACGCGAGTGCAACAGTAATAGATGTCCCTCTAGAAAATGCGTGAAATATGTGTTCTGTGTGAACGGCTTGGTTTCAGTTTTGATGTAAATAACATCTCCGCATTGATGTTCTCTTTTTCCGCAATATTTTAAATGAACAACGCAGCAGCGCCGCATCTAGTGGCTTCAACTGGATAGGCTAACAAAAACATAATGCAACGACACTTACATCGTCGTCGCATTTCGTGCGCCACTGATAAGGCTGCCTCCTTAACGCACACTTAAAAATCGAATGCAACGTTTTTGCATTCGAGTGTGAATTTTTATTTTAAATTCGACGACTATTCGAAATTATAATTTTTTTTGACAGCCCTAATAGTGCAGTGTGCAGAAAATGAATATCTTCCTCAGTAATTTCGTCTTGTTTTCCAATACAAACATCCTTAAATCAAGATACATTTACTTGAGATGCAGTTTGAACATGTGAAGTCTTGTTGTCTGAGAAATTAAAGAAAATGAAGTGAGTTTGTTTTTAAAAAAGAAATATCTGTCAATAGGGTGTAAACGAAGAAAATTAAAAAATTAATGTTTTCCCTTTGAATTAAAGGGATAGTTCACCCAAAAATGAAAATTAGCCCATGATTTACTCACCCTCAAGCCATCCTAGGTGTATACACCTTTCTTCTTTCAGACGAATACAATCGGAGTTATATTAAAAAACATCCTGGCTCTTCCAAGCTTTATAATGGCAGTGAATGGGTGTTATTTTTCAGTAGTCCAAAAGAAGGCCAATAAAGCGCATCCATCCGTAATAAAAAGTGGGAATGCCGTTCCCGGCGTTTTAAAAGACACATACAGCATTTGTTCTCCAGACTGCGCTTTTGTTCGCCAGGTGATCAGCCAATACTGATCGTGTGAGAGTGACCAAATAGTTGCAAATGAAGGACTGAACTGAACGTTGGTGTGTTTTAAGGTTTTGGGAGCACGCCACCTGCCCAAACATGGTCGAGGTATCGTTTGCCCTCTCATCGAGATCGAAGTTTGTGGAGCAGAATATGACAACGCCAAGCAGAGGACGGACTCTGAAGGTGAGGTGCAGATGCAAACATCTCCTACAACAACACCACCACCTAAGAACAAATGTTGTGGGGGTAAGCGGTATCACTAAAAGATTTACCTGTTTTACTCTCAGCGGACAACGGTCTGAACCCCACCTGGCCCAGGAAACCCTTCCGATTCACCGTGTGCAATCCTTCCTTTGCCTTCCTGCGCTTCGTGGTCTATGAAATCGACATGTTCAACGACCAGAACTTTCTCGCCCAGGCAACGTTCCCCATCAGCTGCCTCAAAACCGGTACGGCTCGCCAAAAAAATGAGCGCCTTTGTGCTTTCAAAGGGAATGTTTACTTAGTCTAAATCAGGGCCGTCCAAACTCGGTCCTGCAGAGTTCAGCTCCAACTCGTCCCAACACACCTGCCTGGACGTTTCTGATTGGCAACTAATCAAGGTTTACTAGAAACCTCCAGGACGAGTTGGAGCTGAACTCAGGAGGAACGTCGGCCCCCTCCAGGAGAAGAATCGGACACCCCTGAGTTCATCCTTTAAGGAATGTAAAAAACAATGTCACTGATGTCTGTAGGCTACCGGTCTGTCCCGCTCAAGAACAGCTACAGTGAGGATCTGGAGTTGGCGTCCCTGCTGGTGCACATGGACATCGTCAGAGGAAGGGTGCGCATCATGTACCTTGATTAATCGACTTAAATGAGTGTGCTGTATCGTGATGGCAACCTGGTTCTCTTCTGCAGCATGAGAATGGCGAGATGTTGAGTCCCTTCTCGGCGGCGGGGGCCATAGCCATGCAGGTGGGCCGGGAGCGTACGGGGGACACCAGCTCCGTCTCCTCCACGTCCCCCCTGCCCTCGTCTCCGGGCCAGGCTCTGGGATACCACGGGCGGGAGGGCTCGTTCGAGGCCCGCTACCAGTCCCCGCTGGAGGACTTCAGAGTGTCCCAGGAGACGCTGCTGGACCACGAGAGCAGGAGGTACGCTTGTTTTAAAGATGTTCAATTTACATTTTTACGACATTTAACTTTTGAGTCTGCACAAAAAAAGTCTTTTTGTACCTGCGTCAGCAAATTATTCTCAGAAGTTTTAACAAGAACTGCTGTAAGTATCAAAATGTCCTAACTTAGTTAAGGGCTAAACGGCTTCCACCAGACACGGCATCAGAGCGATTAACTGAAATTAAAGGGATAGTTCACCCAAAAATGGAAATTCAGTCATTAATTACTCACCCTCATGTCGTTCCAAACCCGTAAGACAAATTAAGATATTTTTGATGGAATCTGAGAGCTGTCTGACCCTCCATAGACAGCAAGGGTACTACCACCATCAGCGTCCAGAAACGTAGTAAGGAGATCGGTAAAATAATCCATGTGGCATCAGGGGTTCAGCCGTAATTTTATGAAGCTACGAGAATACTTTTTGAGCGCAAAGGGAAAAGCAAAACGACTTTATTCAACAATTCGTCTCCTCCGCATCACCCTAGCGCCATTTTGGAGAATATCCACTGAACGTAAATTGCGTATGCTTTTTTGTGTCAGCTGTCATGCGGATATGTTGTTTACATCGTTTACGCTTTGATTTGAACGAAAACAACGTATCCGCATGACACGCTAGGGTGATGCGGGCGGAGGAGACGAATTGTTGAATAAAGTCGTTTTTCTTTTTCTTTTGTGCTCAAAACGTATTCTCGTAGCTTCGTAAAATTACGGTTGAACCCCTGATGTCACATGGATTATCTTACCGATCTCCTTGCTACGTTTCTGGACGTTGATGGTGGTAGTACCCTTGCTGTCTATGGAGGGTCAGACAGCTCTCAGATTCCATCAAAAATATCTTAATTTGTGTTCCGAAGATGAACGGAGGTCTTACGGGTTTAGAACGACATGAGGGTGTGAGTAATCAATGACCGAATTTTCATTTTTGGGTGAACTATCCCTTTAACTTATCCAAATCTACATGAATGTCCCGTTTAATGTTCAGTACTGAGTCTCTCCTGGCTCATGGTGTTTCTCGTGTAGGTTTTCAGTTGGCACAAGCAAGAAAACTTTCTTTCACACAATGTGCTGTTCATCGGTCACTTGTGAATAACTTCAAGAGGTTGCCAGCATTTACTCGACTGTCGACTAGCTTTGACTAGTTTTGTTCACTGCCGATTTGAGTGGCGATGCTTCCTGTTTTAAGTGTCTGTTCATTTTTAACCAGAAATGTGCATGCTGCTTTTCAGATGTATATTGAACTTTTCAGTGGTTTTTTTTTTTTCAGTTGCCAAATCCAGTCACTTTGCCACCGAATATACTGCACGGGAAACAAAGATCCAGAACAATGATGGGAATATATTCATAAATCACATTCTTTCCTCTACTTTCTGCCATCTTTTACCAGAAGTAAAACTGCTGGTTGAAAAATAATGTGTTTTTTGAACATTAAAGCATGTCAACATATTCTGTTACACCAAATACACAAAATAATGATCTTTAAAAAAGCATCATATGACCCCTTTAAAAGTATTGCATTACAATATTGCGTTACTCCCTAATGAAAAGTAGCTAATTGCATTACTTAGTTACTTTTTATGGAAAGTAATGCATTATTACTTTTGCATTACTTTTGCTCATCTGGGCTGGGCTTGCTTGTTTTTAATATAAAAAAAATCTATTTTTGGTTGGCTCAAACAAACCTTTCTGCTCTGCTGTTGTTCTGGATTGCATGAAGAATAAGACGCAGGAGAAGAAAGTTCAACTCTCTTCAGCAATTAAAAAAATAAATTTTTGTTATTAGTGCGGTTGAATTGGATTATCGAAGGTCAGCAGCAAAGACACTGGTTAATGGGATTAAACACATAAAGGATATTTGTGTTATTTAACATTATTGCAGGTTTGCGTCATATTCTGAGTTTGCATTTGACTGTTTTTATTTATTTTGAGGAATACTGAATCTGTTTCTGTGCGAGTGAGACGAGTAAATGCATGTTCACATTTAGTCTAGATCTACAGTAACATCATGTTCACACAACAAACACAACGCCTTGATTTCTCTCATCATGAGGACAGGAGAGCTGCAGGTCAATTCATGGGAAAACAAAGTTTTACTTATTTGAAAAAGTAACTCATATTTTCTTGTAAATTAAAAGGTAATGTGTTACTCCCTCGTACTTGGAAAAAGTAATCTGATTACGTAACTGCTGGCTGATATGACCCGGTCTCTTTGCACACGTTTGGTCTCTGAACTGCATCTCTGTGGAGGCTTGGTTAACAAATTGCATCATTTTCTGAAAGAGTGACACTTGTCTACTCAATTACCTGTCCTCTATCAGCAAAATCTGGTTTTGTTTTCTTTTCAGCCTATTGGGATGCTCAGCTATCAATTTTCCAAATCCCCCCCCCCATGATTGTTAGTTTGAGATCGATACTATTATATGATATGATGTTACTATTACTGTTTGATGTTTAATGCAGGTAAATCTGAAATCAGAGTTACTACAATAGATTTTTTTCCAAAAATGCGGGGGTTCGTAACTGTGGCTGGTTTGATGGTGAGGTTCAGACGGTCACTTCCTGTTTGAGTGGCTGGACAATGTGGACCAGATTTTGATATTGATGATCAGAAGTCAGGCTAAATGGTTGAGTTCTGACGTGTGTGGTGTTTCTCTTCTCTGGCAGGCTTCGTAGGGCTCGCGTCAGCGCCGACAACCGTGCGTAACCCGAGCGGATGAGCGTGCGACAGATGGACGGAGCGGACGCAAGGCCAGCGACAAGGGTCCCACAGCTGATGATGTCAAGGACTGCCGTGAAACCCGTTTCTAAGGAAGTCGTCATCGCCAGCGTTTTCGGACAGATCTCCCTCTCTCTGCGACTCTCTCCCGCTCAGGGCCGCGCGAGTGGCAGAGGGGCTTGCGGAGCGTGATGGAGCTTTGGCTCACGGACAGAAACGAACAATTATCTGCTTCGCTACAATCTGAACCTGCGGACGGGGCGGGGGGGTTCTGATGCTGCGCGAGACTCGAGGACAGCGTTTGGGTGGACGACAAAGGCCAATGTTTCAAAATTGAGGGGGGGTTGTATCGTTCATCACTTTGAAACCGATTCCAGGTTAACATTTATGGAGTAATAATACTTTTTCTTTACTGTATCTCTCTGGCTTATATATATAAATGTGTGTGTGTGTGGTTAGAAAAACGTTGCAGCTGATCTGCTCTCAAAGAGCATCTCACTCCAGATCTTTATTTCATTTCAGATTATTTTTTATTATTTAAACGTTTTAAACTTTCATAATGTCATTTTTTTTCTATACGAGTATGTTTTTAACATGAGGGCTTGGCCTTTTTAATTGCGTGTCTTGCATTCTTGCTCTTTCTCTTCCCTCTGTCCGAGTTGATGGACTAAAGTGTTTGACACGTCCCAGGATGTGCTTGTGTGTTTTTGTGACAGGCAGGTGGCAGTATGGGAGATCCCATTGAAGTAGTCTCTGTCTGAGCTTCAGGAAGATGTTCTTCGGCATTTAACAACCTTTATTTTGCTTTAAAATTAAATTATGAAGTTATCAAGTGACCAGAGAGCAATATCACTCTCCTTGTTTTATGTTTTGCCAGTCTGCACGGGTGGACTTGAATTCACAAACAGCTCAGGTGGGGGTTTTGGGCTACGAGAGCTTTGTGGAAATGTCGTGTATTTAGTTTACAGAACAGAACTTGGACCATCTCATTTCAGACCATTTTATCCCTCTAAAACCATTTCTGTGATTTATCGTTTACTGTTCCTCCACACTTTAGCAATTGAAAAGTCTTGTTCCTGAAGGCTTTTTATGGTGTAGTCTTATCAGGTCAAATAGGGAGGGCATTTTATGTATGATTTAGTACCTTTAGTAGCATGTTAACCATGATGTCTGTGCAGATAAACATCACATTTTCATTTTTGGGTGAACTATCCCTTTAAGAAAGCCAAAGGTAGACTGTGCAGGAGGTTTATACAAGAAATCGGGACCAAATAAGTCTATCTCCGTTCATTGGGTTAGTAGAACACCCTGAGCGTTGAATAATTCTCATAATACATTTTTTTTTCTTCTTCTGTGGACAGGAGTAAGGGCATTTTGGTCAGTCTTTCTATAGATGTATACCTTGTGCCAAGCAGTCATCTAGTTTTGTTTTGTCAAAGTATTGCCCTAATACGGATTGTCACTGATTGATGAACAGGCTAAGACTGCTAAACCTCAGTATTCACAGTTGATGTACAGTGAAAACAAGGCCATATTTATTGTAGCTCTAAGTTTCACGCAGTTCTCTTGTTTAGCCAGTAGAGGTTGAGATGTTACTGAACTGCACACATACACATGCCATGTAGTTCTGCCAATCGTTTCGTGTCTAACAGCCGTATACAGAAGCCATTGTGATGCTGTCGCATTGCTTTTCCATCACTGATGCTTTACCTGCCTCTCTGTTTGATCATGGGGTCCAGATGCATTTTTATGGAGCAAGATGACTATGGAGAGCTTGTTTCCCCTCTTTTTTGCCTTGTGGCTGCTACGTTATGCCACTATTGTCACAGTATTTATTTGGTTCTGTGCATGACAGCTCAGAATCTGAAAGATGCTCCAGAATGTACTCCTCAAATTATAGTGTTACGTTGTTATATGTTCCACTGATTGGGTGTGTACAGAAATGCTAATTAATTTGAAAATTGTAAACGTGGGGCATTTTAACACGGAGGGATGTGCGATTCAAGCAACTGGCTTGCGCCTTTGGATGCATGCATAAATTGTCATAACTTTTTTTTTTGTCTCTCTTTTAGTCTTTTTTTTTTTCTAGTCTTTCGCAATGATCAGTGTATAGCAATTTGTATTACGCAATCTAGAAATATTACAGAAAGACACAGGGACCGCAATCACTTCCTGAGCTTTGAGAGGAAAAGACGAGGCCAGATGCCTTCAGAGGGAATTTGTTCAAGTTCCCTTACATTTATTCCTAATTAGCCAACATTCCCTCAATTTGTTTTAAGCATTAATCCCTCTCCTTGTACTTCTGTAGCCCTTCTCCAGTCTGTAAATTAGTGTCTGCTATTTTCTTGCCTCGTCGTTCATGTGCCTTGGTGTATGTATACATGTATACATCAACGAAAGATTTCCCTGTTGGACATGTATGCCTTTTTCTGTTTTCTTGCATCAGCGTTTTGTTACCAATGTTCTTATTTACAACCAAGCCTTTTCTGTAATGTGCCTATGCTATATTGGAGGAAGTATACGTTTAAATTTTGCTTTTCATATGAAACATAATCAAGCCTGAGAATAAACTACTTATTCAACAATGAGCGGTGAAGTTTTTTTTTCCCAAGCCTGAAAATCCATGACCATTTTTTTGTAATATTAAATTTATTCTGCAAATAATATTTGTAAAAATCATACAAGCCTAAGCGTTCACACTGGTGAATCGGTTTCGTCACAAATAGTCATGACTTTAGGGGTTCTTTTACTTTGAATGACATTTCAGGGGGAAAAATGTGCTATGGTATTGATGCTCACCTACAGCATACAACTCAACCTCTCTGAGGTGCAATTAAGTCCGTCATATTTTAAGAATTACAAAAGGGCTCAATGAGAGCTGTGCAGTTTGCACTTAGTACCACCATAAGTCCCCTAAAAATGGTAATTCCTCCCCAGAAGAAAGACAGGAAATTCACATCCAAGAAAAACTTCTCCGTGGACTTCAACTTGGGTCTCTCACTTCACGAAGCTTAAGTCTGTTTTCCCCTCTATCCCATCCAAATAGAAAAAGCAGCTGGCTGGTGAAGGGGTGCATCCTGATTTTTGATAATCCACACCATGTCTTACAGCTAGTAACGAAAATATTCATTTGGGGAGTTTTTTTTTTTCTTTTTGCAGCGGTGTTTTCCAGTGCTCCTGTTAAAGTTTAATCTGTTTAAAAAAAGCCTTCAATTAAAGGCCACATGTGCTGTAATCCCATGGGCTGATATCGCTTCACATTCATTCATGCATCCACTCTCCTCTTCAGTCAGACTCTGCGAAAATGAACAAACAAGTATTAAACACAACAACAACCTCACACTGGACACAATCTAATGGCTAATCCTATCCTTAAATAGGATACAATATAATTCATGGCTGAGATGGCAGAAAATGAATCACCTTGTTTAGTATTTGTTGATATGTCAACTACTGTGGTTCGATCCTTAGAGATTAGGCTGCTTCCTGACTGCTCCACCTTTACATCTTCATGGTCTGGATGCTGTGACGCTAGAGCAGCTTCAGTTGGGGTTGCAGATGATGATTCAGTCATCACACCTCCTGTGCTCTCAGAGTTCCTTTCCTCCAATAAAAGTGGCATCTTATTTGCAAACCACCGCCGGATTGATTCCTCACCTAACCCACTTGATTTGACAATCTCCTCCAACTTAGTCTCATCTAGTTTATCATGCTTGTCTAGGTGCTCCTTTAGGATGCTAATGTTATCTTTCTGGAAGTCTTCCTCGTCTACCATGGTCTGGTAACTCTCAAGCCACTTGAGCTGACCGTTCTTCAGGACATAGCGGCAATCTCCAAACCAACGTACCACCTCTGGTCGCGGTAGGCCCGTTTTAGTTATCAGCTCATTGTACTGGGGACTACTGGGCCAGTGGGTGCGTGCAAAGACTTTCTTCAGCAGGTGGAGCTGTTCGGGCGTCTTCTTTCCTCGGTATGGGGAGGTCTGAGGAACAGCTGTCTGAGAGATAGATTGTGCCACCTTGGTAGCCTCATTCGGTTGACTGTCCTCTGGCTCACCTTTTCCATTAGATTCAGTAACTTTCAGCATTTTGAGATTGATTTTGATAGGGTTAACTTTCGGCTCGGTACCGCTCTCATCCGTCTGTTTGTCCTCTTTGTCTTGTTGTTGTGTTTCCTTGGAGGAATTTTCAGCTTCATGTGCCTCCTCATTGCTGCTTTTTTCCTTGTATATTCCATGCTCCTCTGTCTCTCCCACTGCATCATCATCTTCCCTTTCTGCCCTCTCAGCTTCCTCTTTCTTCTTCTCTGCTGCTACCCTCCTCCGTCGCTCAGCAAACCAACCGTGGATCTCACGGCGAGTCATCTTTGTTTCTGCTCTTAACCGGTCAACTTCTTCACTAGATGGATCTGGGTCCTGTGCAAAGCTGGCCTCCAAAGCACGAACCTGGTGGGGCTCTCGCTCTTTGTACCGTATCGCCGTGAAATCTGGCGATGGGGGGCGTGGAGGACGCCGTGTTGGAGTTGGTGGGAATGATGTCTGTGAGGGGCTGAGAGGTGACTGCTGGGGAGTTTTGGGCCTCTCTGGGGGTGTACTGTTTTCGGACAGGTCTACAGCAGCAAGAGTATCCAGTTGGGAAATGCTACCACTAGCTGTAACAGTCTGACCTCCGCCACTTGACCTTGAACCCTTCAGATTCCGGAAGTGGTAGCGGCGGTCGCTGAACCATTTCCGTACTTCACGTACAGACAGACCAGTTAGGCTTATAAGTCGGTCTACTTCCTCTTGATTAGGAAACTGGCTAACAAGGAAGCTCTCCTTTAAGGCTGCCAGCTGTTCCTGGGACTTTTTGGTTTTGTTAAAGCTGGGGTCCAGGAAGTTAGTGGTGGAGAATATGCGCGAGTTCACAGAGACAGAAGAGTCTGATTTACTTGGTACTGCGCTATCTGTTGTAGTTGTAGATGCCACGGTCGTGGTTGGAGTGGTACTGGCAGCTGAAACATTGTTCTTGCTGTTAATGTTGCTTTTAGCCTCAGAATTGCCTTTACTCTCACTTTTCACAATAGTACCGTTGCTTTGAATGCAAGTGGCATCAGTACCCGGTGTATTGACCTTAATGTTGCTGTTGCTATTTGACTTAGCAGTGCTGCTGCTACCAATACTGATCAGGCTAGCCTGGCTACATAAGCTGCTAGTACTGCTAATACTGCTTGAACTGCTGCTAGCATTGCTGCTGCTGCTGCTACTACTGCAATTTCCACTACTGCTGCTACCAACAGTGCCTAAAACCATGCTGATTCCTTTATCGGCTACCAGGGCTGCAGAGGGTCTGGCCTGCATCATCGGCTTTGCAGCAGCCTGAGGTTTAGGTGTTACGGCTAATGCAACAGGGGCCCTGCTGACCTGAATTCCATTAGCCATCATTGGCTGCGTGACAATCACCCCTCCTTGGCCAACCAGGCTACCTTGTAAGATGTGAGGGATGCCAGTTGTGCCCAGAACTGTGATAGTTGGCTGAGTAGTGGTGTGGTGGGTGTGCCGTTGCTGTTGGCTATTTGAGGGTGCTGCCTGTATGATCGTATTGAACATTTTTCTGCGGGCATCTTCTATTTCCTCTGGAGACCAGCTGATTCCTTGTTTCAGCCTCTGTGCTGTGAACCAGATCTTGATCTGCTCCTCGGGGTACTTGGTGACTACAGTAAGGTAGCAAAGTTCAGCCTTGGTTGGATAAGGGAACTTGCTAAAGGATGTCTTTAAGAAACTGCTATTGTCCATGGATGCATTGTAGGTGGGAATGCTGCTGAGGGGGATCATTACTTTTGGAAGGTTCTTAGTACTTGATGAGGAGGATGCCGAAGAGGAGTGGGATGAGGAGACAGTGATTGGAGCAGATTGTTGATTGAGACTTCTGTTCTGCACAACAGATACAACTTGTGTAACAGCTGTCTTCAGCATGGGCAAAGCCCCAGAGCCATTAACGATCTGTATGGCCGACGGCAGGGCAACTTTGCTGGCTGCTCCATTGTGTACAATAGTGGGCACATGAGTGACTGTAACTGCAGGAGAATCACTTTTCTCCACCACTTTGGTAATAACGGGGGGAGGGTCATCAGTTGCAGGGTGGGAAACTACAATCCTTTTGGGTTCTGATTTACCCTTCAGCATTTTCA